TGGAAAGCAGGCCTGGCCGCTGCGGTGAGGGGCCGTGCGCTCGCTTTGGGCGCGGGGAGGAGGACATGTGCCCGCCGCCCCGGCCCTGCGCTCACTTGGCAGCGCCCTTCCTCCGGCAAAGGGTCTCTTATTTAGTTTAAGTGAAATATGATTTCCCAGAGAAAACAGAGACGGGAAGGAGCCTCCTTTCTGTGAAACGCAGGCTGTGTCTGCTGCATTTGTCAGTTTGGTGCTGTAACGTACACAATTTTTGCAGGAGCTTCAAAACTGTCTGCAGACGTTAATACCGCCCATCTCCCCCATGCCCTTGTGAGAACAGGCTATGTTATCAGCAACTGTGTATAAAACGATTAAAATGAAGCTTGGGGGATGGGGAGGGGATGTTACCTCCCGTTTTTAACTTGTATGTTTTACTGTTAATTTTCAAATTTTCAGAATTTTGGCATTCTTTCTAATGTAAGACTTTCTGGGAAACCACCACATGCTTTTTTTAAAAAAGGCACCCTTTTAAAAAACTCAGAACTGCAGATGCGTTCTAAATTTAATTGTTGGTATTTATGCCTTTAATGTTCCTTTATTATAGGTTTATTGAGTTCCTTAATATCTCAGCAGGCATCTTTGAGTTATTTGATTGATTTTTTTCTGTAGTAGTAATGTGAAAGGAAAAATAATTGTTAGAACTGCAAAAATAAATACCACTTGGATATTTTTTGTAGTGCTCACTTTTGCATTATTGTGGTAGGATGCTTTTAGATGATTTTAAGTTGCTAGTTAGCTGTGATTGTAGCCCAGGAATGAATACAGTTCACAAAGACAGGAAAACTGCTAGTTAACATATGGTTTAAACTTGGCTCCCAAAAATGTCAGAGTAATTTATGAGGTGCATTTCAGGAAATAGATATTTTTGGGCGCGGGGCTCTATCTTTTAGGGAACGTCTTGGTGACTGAATACTTCTGATTGTATGTTTTTGTGTAAAACATTGGAGAAAAGAACAGTGTTTAATTTCAGCCTTAGTTTTTTCTAACTCGTGCGTATAGTTTTGTTTTCTCATTGAAAATTAATTTTTATAGGTTAGAATGAAGGAAATAGGGTTTAGACTTTTGCTTTACATTTACTTGTTTGGGTTAAGAATCTTAAGTATTGTTAAATTGGAGAATAACCTTTGAAGGGAGGAAAAACATGGAACATATCTTTATCTTCTGAACTCTTAAAACGTTTTAATGCTGTCAGTGGTGACTGATTTTTTGATTGCCTACAGACATTTACTTGTTTGGGTTAAGAATCTTAAGTATTGTTAAATTGGAGAATAACCTTTGAAGGGAGGAAAAACATGGAACATATCTTTATCTTCTGAACTCTTAAAACGTTTTAATGCTGTCAGTGGTGACTGATTTTTTGATTGCCTAACAGGACTATTTTTTGTTATGATTACTTAACAAAAACAAATTTAGTAAGTTATAGATGGTTGACAGTCATTATCTGATAATTTTCTTTGCCTAACTGATTATCTCCCGTATAAGTTTGAAATAATTATTTTTAGTGTTTAGAAAGCAGTATTTAAAAATTTAATATAATAATAGAAGTCTGTATTTTAATAAGCTTCTCTCTATTAACCCTAAAAAGGAATCTTCCTGTGGGATATTAAAATCTTGAATTGAACTTGTATACACAGCACTGGTTTTTAGAAGATCTGGGTTCTTTCTAGTCCTGGTTCTTGCACTGAGCAGCAGTCTCCTCTTGGCCAGATCACCTAACTTCTCTGCATCTGTTTAGTTGTGTACAAAGTGGAATTCCTACCTCAAGATTGTCCTGAGAGGTACATGAAATAATGCATGTACATTTTTTTTTAATTATAAAAGGGCTTTATAGACATCAATTGTAATCATTTTATTTCCTTTATTAGCTAGGTTCTGCAGAAAATATTCTTTCAAAGATTCTACTTGCATCGAGAATGAAAAAGACTTTTTAATGTAACTCTAGTTTAAAAAACTCAAACACACATCATGTGACATTATCCCTTTCTGGTAACATACATAATTCATACATTGAAATGAAACAATGTGGCATTTTCAGCCATGGAGAACACTGAATGTTTAGGTTTGCAAACTATTTTTGTTTGTGTATCTATGTGAATCTCTATATACATATTTTTAAGGTTCTTGTTTCTCCTAAATCCAGAGCTGATGGGAATTAAGATACTGAAAAGTGATTATATAGGATCACATGTATCGATTTATTCTAAATAGAATTATAGAGTGATCTCACCATTTTCTTAACTTCTGAAGCAAAATGATAGCATCTTAGTAGTCTGAGGATTATACCATATTAAGAAGCTTATAATTTTAGCATAAGGTGTGTTTGTTTTTGTTTCACAAAATAATACCCTTTTTTGCTGAAAAGGGCTATAAACTTATAAGATGTCAAGAAATAATCGTATATGGAGGAATTTAAAGTCAGTTTCACCTAAGCTAAATTTGAGTCCCAGGAGTTATCTTATATCGTTGTTATCCTGTAATGACATCTAACAGTAGATTGTAATATGGAAAACATACACTTTTCTTTAATTAGTTTATTAGGCATTTTCACTAATTTGTATATTTTATTTCTCAAAAGAAGAGCACACTGCTAGTGAAAAGATTGTGAATGGCTGGAAGGACTTATATCCAACCTACATGACTAAAACAAATATACACTTAGGTACTTTAAAACACTATTTAAAAAATATTCCTAGGGAGACTCTGAAATCTTATTTGGTTATGCCTTCTGATAATATATCTTAAAATATATTTCCATGTGAACTATTTTGATAGTCTTTCTTTCAAATAACATTGGATCTGCATTACTGAGTTAATCATCTAAATAAAAGGTAACTGATTTCATCAAAACCTTCTAGCCATTTTGAAACTGAGGTCTAAAATACTGAGGTGCTTATATCATTGTACTTATTCCTTTCTAAAATAGGTAAGTTTTTTTTTTTTAAAGAATGAATTTTCAGACTATAAAAATAATATGCTTATTACAGAAAAAGCTGATTTTAAAATTTCTCTCAAAGTCTTGTAATTATAGAGACCTGGGCAATGAAAGGCAGATTTATCTGCCTTCAGATATGTAGTATGAAAGATAACACATTCATGTGATATTCTTGATTAATCAAAACTGTGTTGTTTGGGGCCGGCCGGGTGGTGCACTGCTACAGTGCGCCGCTTGGGAGCGCGGCATCTCTCCCGCCAAGGTTTCAGATCCCACATACAGACCGGCCGCTCACTGGCTGAGCGAGGTGCGGGCGCAACACCGAGGGTTGCGATCCCGTTGCCGGTCCCGGTCCGGTACAGGCGCGACACTGAGGGTTGCGATCCGTTGCCGGTCACGAAAAAAGACAAAAAGGAACAAAAAAAAAAAAACTGTGTTGTTTGTAGGATGGGGTAGTTCTCACAATTAATTGGTAGAGAACTCTCCAATATTTATGTTCCTATATATGTATTTTGAGGGTTGCGATCCGTTGCCGGTCACGAAAAAAGACAAAAAGGAACAAAAAAAAAAAAAACTGTGTTGTTTGTAGGATGGGGTAGTTCTCACAATTAATTGGTAGAGAACTCTCCAATATTTATGTTCCTATATATGTATTTCAGATTAATTTTGAGGCTTGGTATTTCTAAAATATTGAGAATGTATTTCTTTAACTTGAAGTAAATATATATAGCAAATATCTTTTAATTCCAAGTTAAAGGGTTGCTTTGCACATGCTGAAATCTGTTTTTTTCCAACGAGATAAACTTGTCAAGAAGATTGGAACAAAATGTTAATTAGGGTAAGCTATCTTTGAAAGTATAGTGAACTCTTTCTTTAAAAAAATGGAATTACATGGGTTGTTTGGTTTATCTTTTTTTTTACAATGTGTTTAAGTAAATTGAATTTAGAATTTAGCTTGCTTACATCAGTTTAGAAGATGTTGAAGCTTTTTTTTTTTCTGTTTTAAAGAATAGATTCTAAAGGAAGACTTCTATTTGGTAATTTGTTTAATCAGTGCAAGTGAAATTAACAAACAATGGATGTAGAAAATGAGCAGATACTGAATGTAAACCCCACAGGTAAGTAATAGCTTTGTCTTGTTAGCAAGCTTCAGGCCATTCCATATTTTATGAAAACATGATAGTAAAATTCTTTACTTTAAATACCATCTTATTCACGCTGTAAGAAAACAGGCCATAATATTTTTAAGTTTTTGATTTTTATTTCATGAAAATTCATCACACATCCTTATTTTTCTGATTATCCTTTCACATTTCATGTATTCTTATTCTCATTATTTATAATAAAGTATATAGTACAGAATAGAGAACAATAGTGAACCTACTTACTGATATTTTCACATGGGCTAGTTAGTGACAATATTATTGATCTCTTTCCTAACCAATAATTTATATATTATAAATTACCTATGGTACTTTCCCTAGTTTGCCATGGTGCTTCATTAGCACATTATTATCCTAAAAATGAACATCGTTTTGTGGAACAGATGACCAGATGTTGAGTAACTTAACACAACTTAAAATGTGTTTATAGCTTTCAGAATAATTTTGCCAGAGTTAATTAGGATTGTGCAATATCTGAATAGTGAGAACTTTTCATATTGGTTTATTTTATTTTTCTTTTTCGGTGGCTGGCTGGTACAGGGATGGAACCCTGGATCTTGGTATTATCAGTGCTATGCTCTAACCAACTGAGCTAACCAGCCAGCCCTATATTGGTGTATTTTAGATAGTTCTTTGCTTTATAATTTTATTAATGTTGAAAGTTCTCTCTTTTCTGTAATTTGAAATATATTTCACAATTAAATACTATAGCGTCATTTCTTCAATGACTTTAATTTCTTATTGCCTATAACATAGTTTTCTTTGATCTGAACAAACTTTGAAGTTGAAATGTTGCCATTTTCTATTTACAAACATGATTTAAATTATGCTAGCAAACTATAGTTGGAAAAATTACTACAATAATTAATGATTATTTCTGTGCTGCTATATACAATAGCTATATGAGTACTTGTTTTTTAGGGTTATAAATGGGTAATATGTTGCTACTTAATTTAGGTGGGATGGTAATAATACAGTTGAAGAATGTGTTTCACATAATAGGCAATTGCTTCTTTTCTGCACTGTCCAGTACAATAACCAGTAGCCACATGTGGATACTGAGCACATGAAATGTGGCTAGTCTGAATTGAGATGAAGGTGAAATATCTCTATTTTTTACATTGATTGCAATGTTCAAATGATATTCAAATGGTTCAGATGGTTCTATTAGATTAAATAAAATATATTAAAATTAATTTCACCTGTTTCTTTTTACTTTAATGTGGCTACTAGAAAATTTAAAACTACATATGTAGCCTGCATTCTAATTCTCTTAGCACAGCTCTAAGATTTATATTTTTTTGTTTTCCGACTATAGTAAGACCTAGTCCTAACCCTGTTTTTGGTGTCTTTGCCCAATACTGCCTTAAAATAAAGGACTTGTTCTTCAATATTTGAATAGGTCTAAGACAAGATCCTCTTTGCAATAAATTCTTCCTTTAGCATATAGTCCAAATCAGACAGACTAGTGTAGTAATTCCAACTTCTGCCTTTACCAGCTCTGTTTCTTTGAGGAAGTAGATTATTTACTCTGACATTCAGTTTTCTCATGTATAAAATTGGGGTATAAATACACTCTGTATAGATTTATTGTTAGGATTTAGTGAGATATTATGTATGTGTGTCAAGCCTATAGCATGTCTTAGGTATGTAATACATAAAAATGTGCTAATATTGCTATTCTAATTGTGCCACTCATTGGACACCAGTAATTGAAAATGTGATCGTGTAAGTTGGAATGTCACTATTGAGATGTCAGAGAATTCAGAAAGAGGGAATTAGTTCACAGAGGAAAACAATTTTGAAGTCACCGCATTCTGTACTGCTTTTTTATCCTTTTAATTTTGGTTTTCTTAAAGTCAGATCAGTAGTTGTTATGGAACCCCCAAACTTAGGTGAGTATGAATAGCAAAATATAAAAAAGCAATTGATACAAAAATGGGTTAAAAATGATATGGTCAAATATATAAAATACACCTAGAGAAAATGTTTACTGCTGTAAACACACAAACATATTTGAAAGGATATTAAAATAATTGAAGAAAAGAAACTCAAGTATGGGAAATAGATATGTTTAAATTGAATACTCCAAGGGACAGTTTAAAACATTTTATTATACTTCTAAGTCCTTTATCTTCTGAAACACTTTCGTGGTTTACCTTAATGGTGGAACAATGAAAGCACTATGTTACAGGTAGCTGTTTAAGGTTTTTTGCAACCACCCAGTCTTACATGAAAACTATCTAATTTGTCTGATCTCTGGTCTTTGTTTCCTTCCCCTTAATCTTCTCCTTACTTCTCTTTCCATTTACTCCCTTGTTCATCCTCTTTGTCTCTGCTGTATTCTAGATTTGTATTGTAGACTTATGAGATTCAAAATATGGGTTTTCTAGATAGGTAACTTCTCCGTGAAACACCTTTCTTCTGTAAAATGAGGATGAACAACTTCTTTATAGAGCTTTGTGAGGCTTATAGACCATGTATGTAAAGTGCCAGGCATAGAACCGGATATCTAGTATGTACCAGGCTGTGTTGAACCTTGTATCTAGTAGCTAACAACAATAATAGTAATGACAAAGTAGTAGTAGTATTACTACTACTAAGACCACAATTACTACTACTACTACTAGTTTAGTTACGATGATGTCTCAACACATTTTCCAAACACCAGCTTACCATCAATCCAAAAACTTAAGGCATCGTTTTCACTCTTCCACATTATTATTTACTCCACATTTACTACCTTTGCCAGTTAGCTTGTGACTGAATTACTGTAACATTTTTTGACACTGATACTTTTTTTTTTTTTTTTTTTTTGTTTTTTGTTTTTTTTCCGTGTCCGGCAACGGATCGCAACCCTCAGCGTTGCCCCCGCACCGGACCGGGGACCGGCAACGGGATCGCAAGCCTCGGCGCTGCTCCCGCGCCTCGCTCAGCCAGTGAGCGGGAACCGGTCTATACGTGGGATCCGAACCCTCGGACGGGAGCGCCGCCGCGCTTCCCAAGCGGCACACCATCCAGTGCGCCACCGGGCCGGCCCGACACTGATACTTTTTGACACTTTATACTTTCTCTTGTTTTTAATATATTCTGTATTCCTCTGTCATACTAATACCGCCACCTCCTACCTATCATGTCAAATCGAAGCTCTGATTGTTTGAGTGTGGGAGTGGTCAGCAGTGATTTTGGTGAAGTAAGCAGGGGCAAGGTCATAAAGGACTTTAAGCTTCAGGGTGAATAGTTTACACTTTTTTTGATGCAATGGGAATACCTTTCAAAGGGTTTTCAGTTGGGGCATGTTTTAGAAAGTCAGCCTCCATTCATTTTGGAGAATATTTTGAAGACTGAAGCCAGGGAGAATTCTTATGAGACTAATGAAGTAATTTGATTCTGTTTAAAGTTTTTGTTTTTTGATTACCACAGTGTTTGTTCCTAAGTTTTATACTTATTGTCAAGAATTGTAAAGGTTTTAACACATTTGTGCTCTTTATAGGCTGATTAAAAGTTTTAGTTTCGGGGCTGGCCCGGTGGCGCACTGCTACAGTGCGCTGCTTGGCGCTCCCGCCGAGGGTTCAGATCCCACATACAGACCGGCCGCTCACTGGCTGAGCGAGGTGCGGGCGCAACACCGAGGGTTGCGATCCCGTTGCCGGTCCCGGTCCGGTACAGGCGCGACACTGAGGGTTGTGATCCGTTGCCGGTCACGAAAAAAGGGGAAAAAAAAGGAAAAAAAAAAAAGAAAAAAAATTTTTTTTTTAGTTTCAACCTATCTTAAAACACATTATAGCCTACACATGAATTTAGGCAGATTTAAAACCACTTGAGTGATTCAGCCCTGACTTGAGTTAACCATAATGAACAAAACTCTCAGTAACATCTTCCATACCACGTTGGTATGCTTACCTCATATAGTATAAAGTTTAAATACATTATGTATTATTTAAAAAGATTTACAAATTAACATTTCAGTTTCTTTAGCCTCCTAAGTTTGGATTTATATCCTTTCATTTTCTGCCCCTCCTTCTCACCCCCCCCATTTTCCCCTTCCTGCTCCTTCTTCCTCTCAAAGTGGAGCTTATTTGATCCTTTTAAAAAAATGAAAGGTCTTCTGTCATTTTCCTATTGTTTTGGAAATACTAGTTTGGATTAATTTTTAAGCATTCTATAAGACCTAAGATATTCTTTGTTTCTCTCTCTCTCTTTTCCTCTTCTTCCCTTCTGACTTTTTCCTACATTTTTACACATTTCTTCTTGAAAACACTTAAACAACTCAGTGTTTTCTTTTTTTTTTTTTTCTTTTTGTCTTTTTTCGTGTCCGGCAACGGACCGCAACCCTCAGTGTCACGCCCGTACCGGACCGGGACCGGCAACGGGATCGCAACCCTCAGTGTTGCACCCGCACCTCACTCAGCCAGTGAGTGGGAACCGGTCTGTATGTGGGATCCGAACCCTCAGCAGGAGCGCAGCTGCGCTCTCAAGTGGCGCACTTGCGCCACCGGGCCGGCCCGTGACTTATAAAGTTTTCAAAGCAAAGCCAAATGTCTCCATGAGATCTCCAGGGACATTTGAATTGAGAGTCTGAAGGATACTCTGGTGCTGGGGATACAAAGAAAGACAGTCTAGTCATGGTTCCTCTTTGAGGTTTATGACTTCGTTGGAAAAGCAAGACTGCTATATAAAAAGAAATAAAGTGATTTCCATGGTGTGTGAAATGAATGTTATGTGAACGTTAGTGTTACCGTGGCTAGAGCTGTTAGGAAAGTTTTCATGGAGGAAGTAAGACTTGAGCTATATCCTAAAGGATTTTAATAACTGAAAAGAGCAGCAAGGTTGACATTTGAAGCAGGAGGATCATTGGGAACTCCAAATATGGTGCTTTCTTTCAGGGTATAAGGTACCAATTTTATGTTGGAAGATTTTCAGAGGATGGTAAGTAATATGAGTCAAATTTGGGGAGATGAATTAGGACTTTGAGATGATGACTTCCATTCAGCTCAGTAATCACCAATTTGTGATTGAGCCTTTCAGGCTCTTTTGGATTGTTAATATTTCCTCAGTGTATATAATTCACTATGGGATATTTGGTAAGTCATTTAGACACACTCAGCCTTAGTTTCCTTATCTATATAAATGGTAAATAATTGCCATACTTGTGGGCAAATGACAAAGTGTTCAGCACAGTGCCTGATAAATAATTGTAGGCATTCTGTAAATATTATTTTATCTCTCTTCTCTCAAGATCCTTTGTCTTAGTGTCTCCAGTTGCTTAACTCTCTTACCTCACATCTAAAGGTTTTAATATTTGTTGTTGAGATTAACATAGATTTTGTGATCTAAACATGTGAGATAACATGCTTCTTTCAGTAAAACTTGCTCATTAAAATTCAGTGCCTTAGTTTACTTTCCTTGATAATGTGAAAAGTAATCCTATTTGTCATTTATTAGATCGAACCATATGAAATTGCTAATATGTGACTGTTAGTGACCTAGAAAAATGGTAATTTCATGTGACTCAGCCTAATCTAACTTATGACTATATACCTGGTTTAACAGTAGATACTTAAAATACTTAGACTTTTCTTTCTTCATTTTTCTCTTTAAGATCCTGATAATTTAAGTGACTCTCTCTTTTCTGGTGATGAGGAAAATGCTGGGACTGAGGAAATAAAGAATGAAATAAATGGAAATTGGATTTCAGCATCCTCCATTAATGAAGCTAGAATTAATGCCAAGGCAAAAAGGCGACTGCGGAAAAACTCATCTCGGGATTCTGGCAGAGGTGATTCAGTCAGTGATAATGGAAGTGAAGCCCTTAGAAGTGGAGTAGCTGTGCCAACCAGTCCAAAGGGAAGGTTGCTAGATAGGCGATCCAGATCTGGGAAAGGAAGGGGACTACCAAAGAAAGGTTGGTATAGAAACAAATGTAAAAAAATTGTTCTGTTTCTTGAACTAAGATTTCCTTGTTCTGAGAATGAGAGAAATTTAAACAATGATAATATAAGGTTGTACGGTTTGTATATATTTTAACATAATATAATTTGAGGACCTTCGCACTTTGGTCAGTTCTTTTTTCTTGTTTGAGTAGATTTAGTTTTATTGAGGAGAATTTTCTCTCTTATTTCCAGGAAAATATACACTGATTTTTTCAGTTATGAATTGTGCATGTACTCACTTGCTAACTTTGAAAGTAGAGTTCAAAATTCATGATACCTATTATCTAATGACTATTATGTCCATTCTTAAGAATAATAAATATAAATTTGATTGGTAATGTCTGGATCAGAATTTTAACGTTTTCATAGTCTGGTTCCAAGTTCTCTTTATTTTGGATACTGGAGTGGATTGGTCTATTTCACTACTGTAACTGTAGTGCTTATAATGACTAGCACATGGGGATGGTCTGTGGCTCACTCGGGAGAGTGCAGTGGTGATAACACCAGGGCCACAGGTTCGGATCCTATATAGGGATGGCCGGTTGGATCACTGGCTGAGCGTGGTGCTGACAACACCAAGCCGAGGGTTGAGATCCCCTTAGCGGTCATCTTAAAAAAAATAAAAATAAAATAATGACTAGCACATGGAAGACACCTAAATATTTGTTGAATGAGAGGTCTGTCAGCCTGTCTGTAGTAGGATTTTGATGATACAATTTGGAAGTTTCACCAGCTTCCACATGGTGGGAGCTTCAGTTTATAGCCTAGGGTTCTTGTTTTTGTGATCTGTCAAAAATTGTTATTTTTGTTGAATGGCTTTACAATCATTGTTTGGATCAAAATGAAATTTATTTATCAGCTTCTGTTTTGCTTTGATGGCAAAGATCGTACTCTAAGTATAAAATAAAAACCTCCAAAAAAAGAAATGTTGGTGACATTGTAAGGGTTCTTTAAAAAGTAATATATTAGGCCTTATAAATACATTTCAGTTTATGTAGAAAACCAACTTTGAACGTTAGAATTGTTAAACTTGGGTGGCTGGTTTGTATATAGTAGTAGAATTGTTAGTGCTCTTAATGCTTAAAAAGCAATTAATTATTTGTAACAAAAGCAATTAATTATTTCTAACATTGCCAGTTGCAAAGTATAGTTTAATGTGTACTTTTATATCTAAGTAGTATTTGACTTTAAAACATCTGATGGTCACTGTGGTTTTTTTTTTGGTTAAGTAATTATTCCCTTGTTGAGTTTTCTATGCCATGTTTTACTGGCCTAATGTGTCTTTTATGTTTTGGTCCCAAGAAATGTCAATAAAATTTAGAGCTCAACTGCAATACCACCTCCCTTAGGCCCTCAATACAACTATTTTTTCAATCATTTTTTCTCATTTTTGCTTTTATTTTTAAAGCATCTACCTTTTTCATTTTTAATTTTTTAAGCTATTTCAACTTGGTGTTTTTGGAAATAGATTATAAAATACATGAAGTCTAAGTATTATTGAAAAAGTGGTCTGAATAAAAAGGAGTTTAAAGTTTAATCCTCAACTGTAAAAAAAAAAAAAAAAACTAGCATAGAAATTAAAATACAGCTTTTTAGCTGTTACATAACATTTGAACATTTAGAATTATTTCAGGTTTCAATGAAAATTAAAATTTATGAGCTGTGAACTTTGTGATCCTTCCGTTTTCAAATCTAAACTTTTTCAGGTGGTGCAGGAGGCAAAGGTGTCTGGGGTACACCTGGACAGGTATATGAGGTGGAGGAGGTGGATGTGAAAGATCCTAACTATGATGATGACCAGGTATCAATATTCTACTTTTTTAAAAATATTTAAAATGTTTATAAACTTTTTTACTTCATGTTTGTAGTGTGCTCATACATTTGTCAAATAATAGGTATATACATTTATATGCTCGTTATCAAATCACACATATATACTAGTATATAATGTATATCTAAATCATATATACTCATTACTTTCAGATTGTTAGGTTAATTTTGAATTAAGGAAACCAAGTTAACTGATAGTAATGTGTGCATAATTTTCACTTGGTTTCTGAAGTGAGTCACAGTAGGTCTTTACAAATTCACTTACAATTAAGTTGACTATTTTTCAAGAAATTCTATTAATATGTTATCTTTCTATAGTAATGATAATTGAGACATATCTTCTTTTGAAAATCATAGACAAGTATAGGTTCTTTTCAAATATTACTTTAAGGATGCTGTGATAAATTTTGTTTTGGGGGCACGTGCATCTTTTTTCTAGGGATAATGCTGAGAATGTGAATTTTTAACAGATCTTATAGTGAATTTTTTATATATTTATCTTTTTAATGGAATTTTTCAAAGAGAGAGACTAGTATAATGAACCTGCTTATACTCATTTCCCAGCTTTACCACCTTCAATCACTGTTAATTCATAGGTGATCTTGTTTCATCCTATACCTCCATTTACCTCTTCTGTCACCCCCTCCCCTTACCATCTTCCAGATTATTTTGAAGCAAGCCCCAGATATTATGGCATGTATTTTTAAAATACTGTCTTTGCGTAAGATAAGACATGGTGATGAGAATATTAGACAGGAAAATATCAGGATATATGTTAGGTTTTTATTGTGTGTGGTTTGTATAAATGTACTTACCTATTCTAATAGTTGGATTTGGAAATATTTCTAAGGGACTATGAAAAATATACATATATTTAAAACCAGTGGGGGGCAGAGCGGGGCTGTGGCTAGTTAGCCCATTTGGTTAGAGTAAGGTCTTTTAATACCAAGGTCAAAAGTGCAGATCCCCATTCCGGCCGGCTGCCAAAACAAAACAAAAAACCAAACCAGTGGGATTCACATACTGTAGAATCTTTGCTAAATATTTATTAGTCTTTCAAGCGTATATTGTGAGACTGAAGCTGGTCACAAGTTGTAAATAAACATTTCAGAATTTTTTGCAGAGGAGATAGGGATGGTTTGGTGATGGACATTAATCTAACTTCGTTATGAAATTTTAGTTCAAAACTGCTTTTCCTTAGAGATTTTTCAGTCACTGCCAATTGATCTTTGTTATTTTATTATGATAATACTAATCATGAAGGCTTTGGTTCCTGCATCATTTTTTTTTAAGTGAAATTTTAATGAAAATACCATATGTGTATGATAGGAAGCCATCTCAAAGCTTTTTGATCATTAAAAGATTCGTTTTGAGAGAGAGATAAAAAATTAACAGAAGATAGTGGGGGTTGAGAGCAAGTCATATATTTGCTGTGGTTAGTGGTTCTAATCTGTATACTGACTTACTGTATTTAGATTTTATAAAAGAACAGTAACATATACATTCTGTTTTTATATCACATAAGTGATTAAGGCATGCAGCATATTTTTATCTTGCCCTAAATGGGGATTACTAACCAGTTGGAATATAAAATTATACAACAATTTCAGTTTATCTGAATATTTTGTTCTTTAATTTATAACTCGTCCTCTTTTCCTCACAGGAGAATTGTGTTTATGAAACTGTAGTTTTGCCTTTGGATGAAAGGGCATTTGAGAAGACTTTAACACCAATCATACAGGAATATTTTGAGCATGGAGATACTAATGAAGTTGCAGTAGGTTTAAAGTTACAAGTATAATTTATTTAATATAAGAGAAAACACTATTATAAGCAAAACATATCTAGAATGATCTTGGATTACTGAATAAATTTAAGCACTTTCGTTTGCATAAATGAATTTCTAACTAAGAAATGGAATAAAATCTTGTTTGTTAAACCAGTTGTTCTTCTATTTTGGGATCTGATGAGAGCTGTGTGCCATTTCCTTCCCTGAAAAATGGAACAATACAATATTTTTATAATTTATAATACATATGAATTAATACCTTTTTATAATTTATAAAATATAATTTTAACAGTATTGGGGCATTTATGGACCCCTAAAACCTCTTCAGTGACCTTCGTTAAGGATGCCTTAGTTTCATATTTTTGACTTTATTTCAGTGTTCAGGATTAGTATAAAATTTATCTTTGTACTCTGTCCAAAAGAATGAAGAGAATAAATTTCAGTGTTTTTAAGCATAATTTGCTTGGGAATATTTACTGTGTTAATTATGAATTTTTCATAAAGTAAATCTAGAAGGGTAAAATAAATTACTGGTCTGATTAGGATTACTGGGTTAAAGTAATACAATTGTAACTCTAGAAGTCTTTTATAATTTAGATTCTTAAAATTCCGGCTGGACTTCCTTGGTTTTTCTGATACTGTGAGGGTTGATATCTTTGGATTTGTAGGATTTGAATATAAAACAAATATTTGATCAGAGCATACCGTATGGAGGAATTTGTCATAAGTGATTCCTGCCCTTTCGAAGCTCAGTCAATAATATGTAAACATATTATTAAAATATAATGTGAAATAATCTGTTACAGAGAAAGAGTTTTAAGTCCTGTGAGGGCAGGGACTGTTGAAATCCAGGTATCTCTAGCATAGGATGAATTGTATACTTTACGTCTCTTAACCAAGTGGTGCTACGAACAGAGTGTTATAGAAGCATAAAATGACAGCAACAGAAGAGGTGACTGAACCATCTGAAGGATGGATGGTTAGGAGTTTGCTAGACAAGATGTTTGAAGCGTTTTTTTTTTGTTTTTTTTTTTTTGTCTTTTGTCTTTTTCTGTGTCCGGCAACGGATCGCAACCCTCAGTGTTGCCCCCGTACCGGACCGGGGACCGGCAACGGGATTGCAACCCTCGGTGTTGCTCCCGCGCCTCGCTCAGCCAGTGAGCGGGAACCGGTCTGTATGTGGGATCCGAACCCTCGGGTGGGAGCGCCGCCGCGCTTCCCAAGCGGCACACTTATCCAGTGCACCACCGGGCCGGCCCGTGAAGCGTTTTTTTCTGGAAAGAGAAGTATCATGTTTTAAGGCAATTAGTTAAAGTTCGGTTGAAGAAGATGAAATGGACTGGGAAGAGACTACTAACAAGGACACCAGTTAGTTTGCTGTGACAATAGTTCTGGCACTCTTTGCAGTATACTATGATTTAAAGATTCTAAGAAAACTTTCAGTTAAAAAGAAAGCACTCTAAGTAACTTGGCCACTCCAGCTGTGTGCCCTCAGCTGTTACTTAATTCTGCGTTTTGGGTAGGCTAGGTATGATTATTTAGTATGAAGAGGGTTATTTTGAGTATTAAATGAGATAATGTAAATGAAGTGCCTGTTATAAGGCCTGCTACATTACAAGTGTTATTAGCTATTGCACTTATATTTTTAATAGGAAATTTTAACTTTATCCCAGCATTTAAAACAATAACTTAAGATCTCATTTTAAACTTTAAATGAAAGTATAAATTTTTGTTTCAAGAGAAAGCTTTGAAGAAAAGTAGAACGTAAATAGCTTATGATTATGTGTAACGAATTTCTCCACGAATGCTCAAAAAAACAATATTTCTAGAAATAATATTAATAGATTGTAAGGCGAAGGGTTAGTTAGGTCCTAACACCAAACTTAGTAATATTATGTACTTTAGTAAACTATTTTAAGTGTATTTCATTCTTGAATTTAGTGATGTTCAGGCAGTTAAAGCTTGACAAAGTGGATCAATATCTAATTTATATGCAGAGAAAGATGTATTTATCCTATCCCACAAAATAGGACTGCTTCTCTGGTTATTTCCAAAGAGGAAGAGGTAAGGGAGATAGATAGATAGATAGATAGATAGATAGATAGATAGATAGATAGATAGATAGATAGATAGATAGATAGATAGATAGATAGATAGATAGATAGATAGATAGATAGATAGATAGATAGATAGATAGATAGATAGATAGATAGATAGATAGATAGATAGATAGATAGATAGATAGATTAGGTAGATAGATAGATAGATTAGATAGATAGGTAGATAGATAGATAAAAGGCTTGATTTTTTTTTCTCACAAAAAACTTTATTGAGATATATAGGTGTTGACATACTTTTACAATATTTTAAAATTTATTTTATTTTTTTGAATAGGAGATGCTGAGAGATTTAAATCTTGGTGAAATGAAAAGTGGAGTACCCGTGTTGGCAGTGTCCTTAGCATTGGAGGGAAAGGCTAGTCATAGAGAAATGACATCAAAGCTTCTCTCTGATCTTTGTGGGACAGTAATGAGCACAAATGATGTGGAAAAATCATTTGATAAATTGTTGAAAGATCTACCTGAATTAGCATTGGATACTCCTAGAGCACCACAGGTTTGTATGATTCTTCTTTTTCTTCATTCCCTCCCCCCACTACACTTCTAATTGTAGAAATAATATATGCTCTTAGGAAATTTTAGTACAAGGAAGGGGAATGGCCCACTTTTCCTACCATAGAAAAACAGCCTCTAACCTTTTGTTTATTTTTTTCCTAGCTGTTCTTTTGGTTTTTACACACAGTCTTCATCATACTATAAATTCAATTTTATATCCTACTTTTTCTCCCATTCTCTGTATAGTTTTTAGGTCATATTATTTTGTTGTCTATATGTTCTCTATTACATGTAGTTAAGCTGTTTTATTAGGTAGGATTTAGGAGAATTTAAGTTGTTGTAATTGATTGGATTTGCTTGACTAATGTTTATTATAAAATAGTCATAAATAAGACTTCCCTTTTGTAGCTTTGAAAACATGTGAAATTATTCCTATTTAATTATCAAAGTTTTTAATCAAGGTAAGAGCACTTAAACATTAATTTAGAATAGAGTATGGGTAGGTCAGTTCCTAAATGCTTTTTCTGTTATACTTTCCTATGACAGACAATAGTCTGTGTAAAGTATTGAGCTGTAATTAAAATATGGACCTTTTTTCCCCTCTTTATACAAATACATATACTTTTAAAAAAAAAGATTGCATAAGTTTCTATTCATTATAGGATTTTTGAAAAATAAAAGCCAAAGGGAAGAAGGGCCAGAAAAAAATAACCACTGTTAATATTTGGGGGCTGGTCGGTTAGCTCAGTTGGTTAGAGTGCAGTCTTGTAACACTTAGGTCAAGGTTTGGATTCCTGTATTCACCAACCACTGCCCCCCCGCCGGCCCCCCCAATAAAACATTTTTGTGTTATTTTCCATTCTACTTTCTATGGGTATATATCAATATAAATCTTTACTTTTTTGTTAATTAAAAATGGAATTATACCATATGTGCTATTTTGTAAACTTTTATTTTTCTCACACCATAAAATATGGTAATTATTTTTCCGTATAGCCACGTAGCGTACCAACTTACGTATGTACCATTTAACCACACCTTTACGATTGGACACTGTAGTTTCCAATTTTTATAGTAATGTTGTGAACATACTTTCAAATAAATATTTCTACACAGCCTTTTTTCTCCATAAGATAAAGTCCTTTAATCAAATGTGTTAAGTTAAAAGGGCTTTTGTGAATAATTATAAGGCTGTATTAAACTTCAAAGGAATGCTTGAAATCTTTTTCTTATATTAATATTTAAAATTTTCAAATACTGTTGAATTAACTTTGTTTTGTAGTTATTCAATAAGTGTCTGTTTTTATATGAGCAGTTTAAAACTAGGTAGTCTCAGATTATAAATTATGAATTATGAACACTAGAATAGATTGGCAGATTTTTGTGAGGAATTTCACTATACCTGTATGAATGCTATAAAAGAAAAAATAATTGATTTATTGCATTAAAATGCCAGATGTATTCCATATAGATTTTCTTCTGGCTATAACGTGGTACTTTATAAAGAAACCAGACAAAATATTTAATCTCAATATCTGCAGATATTTAAGAAAAGGCATATTAACTAGAAGATCTACAGTTCATGTGCTTCTGATTTTTGAGTATACTCATTATGTGACTATGAAGTTCTGGGTTTTAGCTAACCCAGTAGCTACATTCATGTCAAGTCATGTTTCTCGGTGCCTCGGTTTCCCTATTTATCAAATGAAAGCATTGGATGCTGAATTTTCTAAGTTCTCTTCAGGTTCTAACATTCAGCAGTTATTCAGTATTATAACTAGATAACATTAACAGAGGAACCTCATTTATAATTTTATTTCTATTTATCTATTCTAGTTTTCACTCTTGTTCTTTGTATAATTAATTGTAAGCTAAATGTGATATTTGGGAGTTACATGATTTTTCTTAACTTCCTGGAGACTTATTTAGACTTAGCCATGTGTTAGGTTTTCTCAGATCTAGATATTACCTTAATTTCCTAGGTCTACTTAAGGTCATAATGGAATGATCTCTCTCTAGTTGAGAAGGGATGGATTTAGGTAAAAGTTATATATGAAATGTTCCTTCTCAGTGTAGATCAGTTATTTTGTAATATCTTTTGATTTTTCTGGAATGAGAAATGGAAGTAATAAAGCATGAGAATATTAACTTAAGAATCAACATTTTTTTGCTCCCTATTTATTTATTTATTTATTTATTTTTTTGTCCTTTTTGAGACCGGCTGCACCGTGCTCAAACAGTGAGTAGAATATTAACTTAAGAATCAACATTTTTTTGCTCCCTATTTATTTATTTATTTATTTATTTATTTTTTTTTCCTTTTTGAGACCGGCTGCGCCGTGCTCAAACAGTGAGCGCTGTGAGCACACCGGTCATCCCTATATGGGATCCGAACCCGCAGCGGGAGTGCTGCCGCGCTCCCAGCGCCTCACTCTCCTGAGTGCGCCATGGGCTCGGCCCCCTATTTTTTATTTTGAAAAATAGTTTGAAAGATTTGAATTTTATATTGCTTTTCTCTTCTGTGAAAGATTATAGTGTATATGGGATTTTGTCAACTGTATCCATAATTTGGTAAACTAAGACATGTACCAAGTATCAAAATTAATTTTTTTTTTTTTTTTTGTAGAGCTGCTCTGGATAAGGCTACTGTACTCCTGAGTATGTCTAAAGGTGGAAAGCGTAAAGACAGTGTGTGGGGCTGTGGAGGTGGGCAGCAGTCTGTCAATCACCTTGTTAAAGAGGTAACTATTGGGTATTGTTTTCAACTTTTTTGTATTCCTCTGAGAGAAATAAACTATGCCTGTTAGCTGGTATTTTTGCAGACAAAAATTAAGTTTAGTCTTGTAGTTGCAAATGGAAGATTGAATAATCCTTTTATATTTGGCTTTATACCCTTTCACTATAAATTATACAATAATTATATAACTGTTACTTAAAACTGAGACTGTGTTAAGTTAAAAGGGCTTTTGTGAATAATTATAAGGCTGTATTAAACTTCAAAGGAATGCTTGAAATCTTTTTCTTATATTAATATTTAAAATTTTCAAATACTGTTGAATTAACTTTGTTTTGTAGTTATTCAATAAGTGTCTGTTTTTATATGAGCAGTTTAAAACTAGGTAGTCTCAGATTATAAATTATGAATTATGAACACTAGAATAGATTGGCAGATTTTTGTGAGGAATTTCACTATACCTGTATGAATGCTATAAAAGAAAAAATAATTGATTTATTGCATTAAAATGCCAGATGTATTCCATATAGATTTTCTTCTGGCTATAACGTGGTACTTTATAAAGAAACCAGACAAAATATTTAATCTCAATATCTGCAGATATTTAAGAAAAGGCATATTAACTAGAAGATCTACAGTTCATGTGCTTCTGATTTTTGAGTATACTCATTATGTGACTATAATTTTATTTTTAATAAGTCTTTTAATGACATATTTACCTAGTTTAAGTGTTAAAGGAGCTCAAAGTGTAGTTAGAGCCTATTTTTTTATATATTAAAATTAGATATTGGTATTTGTAATGTCATGATTTTTTTATATTTTAAAAAACATTATCTGTTTTTTAAAAATTAAAGAATTATTAGAAAATTTGAGATATGAAAATAGTCAAGATGCCAGGGCAGTTAGGCAGGAAGAAGAAATAAAAGGCATTCAGATTGGAAAGTAGGAAGTAAAACTAGATCTATTTCCAGATGACATAGTCTGTATTCAGAAAATCTGAACGAATCTTCAAAATAACGTCCCCGAAACCAAACCAAACTACTCACTAATAAATAAATTCAGTAAGGTTTCAGGATACAAGATCAATATACAAAATTCAATTCTATATCTATAAAGGAATGATCTGAAATGAAGTTAACAGGTACAATTACAATAGCATCAAAAATAAAATACTTAGGAATAAATTTAACAAAAGAAATGTAAGTCTTGTACAATGAAAACTGCAGAACATTGTTGAAAGAAATTAAAGACCTAAATAAATATCCCATGTTTATGGATTAGAAGACTTAATATTCTTAAGATAGTAATAATTCCCAAAATTAATATTTTGAGAAATTCCCAAACTGTGAATTATCGCTGAATTAAAAAAATGGTCAAGATGAAAACTGAAATAAAATTACCAACATATGAGTTTGAGGTTGACATTATTTGGATGTTCATTTATATGGAAGGAAGGTTTGGACAAAGACTTAGAAATGTATACATGTGTTTGTAATTTATCATTCTCAAAAATGCATGTAACCTGGTGGGGAACATTTTAAATACTTTAAGTTACATAACATGTTAAAACTAAGCAATATAAGTTAAATAAATATATTAATTTGTAATTACAAAGTACTTTATTCAAATGCTGTGCTTTAAATATTTACTTTCCTAAAGCATGGTCATAGGAATTATTCATCAGGATGTATTCAGGTGATCAAATTTTACTTTACCTTTTATGAAAAAAATACATTGTGGAAGTTGGAAGTAGAAGATACTTAAGTAAGATTATTTTATTCAATCGGCCAACATTCATTGAGTGCCCACTAGATGCAACTGTGACTTTAACAGGCAATGTAAAGGGAAGAACATTCCTAGTTGAAGCTCTTGTGCTGAAAAACTTGTCCCACTTTTCCTCTAGAGTCATAAATTTTATTGTACAAGTTTGAGCAGGAGAGTTAAGACTTGTCTCTTTAGCTATATAACTGGAAGCTGAATTATCGATGAATATTTCAAACCCTTAGTTGTAGAGAAAAGAGAAACTATATGGAAATCTTTGCCCCATTATCATCTCTCATTTTTTGGCTCCTGGTGCACTATTAAGATCATCCTGATAGAAGTGAAGTATTTTGTGCCACTTTAAAAATTCATATTGAGACTTTCAGTTAGTGCCCTCTAGTGGAATTTAAAATCCCTTGTTTTCAATAGGGAGCACTAAAGCATGATCACAAGAAGCCAGGCCATGTACATTATACACCTGCTTGCAAGTCTCAGTGATTATTCACACACTGAGGTACCACATTTGTTTCATAATTATGAACCATTTAAAAATTGTGGATTTATTTTTTAATTATGAAAAAATTCTGTTATGATAGTATTATCAAGTCTGTTTGTTCTTAGCTATTTGTGACCTGTTGTTTCATCATGTAATATATTGGGACGAGGGTAATTAATCCTTTAGGCAAGCACAACGTTTTTAAAAATCAGGAATTCTGACATATCTCTGACTTTTAAATCTTATAGATTGATATGCTGTTGAAAGAGTATTTACTCTCTGGAGATATATCTGAAGCTGAACATTGCCTTAAAGAATTGGAAGTACCTCATTTTCACCATGAGCTTGTATATGAAGTAAGATTACCATGCCATGCCAAAGAGAATTAAGTGTTCCTTTTTGTACCACATGACTTAATGCTTCTTTAATTACGTAGTCTTCTTTTTAAAAATTAAGTGGTTTTTAAATTTTTATGATTATAAAGTCATATAATCATATTAGAGAAAAAGGACCTAATACGAGTACATTTTCGGAGCAGTTTCTTATGAGTTAATGACCAAAAAATCATTCATTCAATTTTTAGGCTATTATTATGGTTTTAGAGTCAACTGGAGAAAGTACATTTAAGATGATTTTGAATTTGTTAAAATCCCTTTGGAAGTCTTCTACCATTACTGTAGACCAGATGAAGAGAGTAAGTATAACATTATTTTAAATAAATTTTAGACTCTTATACCTTAAATATGTGATTGAATGAAGATTATGAATTGTCAATAAAATTTTCTTTTAGGTATGTATAGAATTATTATGCCTATAGGTTTTATTTTTTTAATGGCAGTGTTTGAGGTTTGAACCTCTTGAAACCATTTCTTGGAAAGTAACACTTCAGTGGGCTTTTAACATTTTTTAAAGTGTGATTGTGTATTCTACCTCAAGGGTTCAGTTTCTAGGATATGATAATTTCTATTTCATATTTAGAGAGAAACACAAATCTTTAACAAGTTATACTTAAAGTGCTTTTTTCCTATTTAAAATTGTACCTATTGTTGTTGAAATATTAGTGAGGTTATTTGCCTTGTATTTTGAAAAAAGGTAGATGTATCCAGAGAAATCGATGGGGAAGGAATTTGCCCAATGTCTTTCTGCAGCTCTTTTGCAAGAACAGTTTTAAAGAAAACATTTTGTAACAAATGAACTTTTTTAAGGTTCAAATCTGACTTCAGTTTAATCATATGGCCATTTGGCCTTAAGTACAGATTGATGACAAAGTGATGGATTGTGTTTTCTGGCATGTATTTTATGTGGACTAACAATTCTATATATAATTGCATTGTTTAGGGTTATGAGAGAATTTACAATGAAATTCCGGACATTAATCTGGATGTCCCACATTCCTACTCTGTGCTTGAGCGATTTGTAGAAGAATGTTTTCAGGCTGGAATAATTTCCAAACAACTCAGAGATCTTTGTCCTTCAAGGTACTTTATTTAAATACTACTTTCTCAAGATAACCTGCTGGATGAGGTGCTTGGGAAGGCTAAGCTAAGATAGTTTTCTGTCATTCCAGCTGTCAGGAAAATAACAGTATTTTCCCTGAAGTCACCGAGGAATGAGAATCATCTATTTGGACTTTATGGAGAAACAAGGGCAAAGTTGTTTTGCCTCTTTGTAACTCTGTACAGGACTACTTCGTGAAGTTCCAGTTCATTTGAAGGATACTAATTTTGTGGAGCAGTTCTTTGTACCAGGCTCTGTTCTAACTAGTTTAAATGTTATTTCACAGTAGATATTCTCACCAATAAGATGAGAAAATTGAGGCTTAGGGAGCTGTTACATGGCTAGTACATGGTACAGGCAAAGTATGAATCCAGACTTTTTCTGCTTTCATATATCTAGGCTCTTTTCTGTACTCTTATGTGGCTTCCTTTGCTTCGTGAGAGGATGGAGAATTAGAACTCACTGGATCTTATTCCACTAGAACGTATGTGTGGGTGGGTGTGTTTTTATTTGGAAGTATTGTGTGTGCTATTAGGACACAGCTCTTAAGGAGTTTTTTGTTAAAATAAAACTAATCATGAAGCTTATAATAGGTATAAAGATAGTTTAGCTGTTACTAAAGGTTGCTTGTGTGGGTCAGTTTATATACATTTTAAATTTTTGTAATTTTTTTATCTGAAAAAAATTTCTAAGCTTTGAGTATTTTTACTTAAGTGCATTGTGAGAATTAAATCTCAGAAGAATACATCCTGGAAAATATTTTTGCTCTAGAAAGTTTAGAAGCCATTAAGATAAAAGTAAAAGAAAACTGGAAGATAGAGTTAAATGGCTTTACTAGCCATGTTTGGAAATGTAGACCTCAGTTTGGTGATGGCACCATTTATGTTCAGATGTGATGTGCCAAGTGGTATACATCAGTAAAAATTTCCAATTTTGGCAAAAACTCTCAATTATCCTTGCTGCTGATTACTTCCTTCCTACTTTGGTCTCATAATATATAGCCTGAAGTCTTCATGTTCAAGAAAATGTAGCTCGTTTCCACCTAGCCTTAGTATGAAAATGGCTTAACACCCTGGCACTGGCTTTTTAAAAGTTTTTTAGCTTCTGCTTGAAAGTCTTAACTCTATTTCTCCTGGTTGCTCTACACTCAAGGGTCATTAAGAGATACCTAAACTTTGTGTATACCATGCAACCTTGACTTTTGTCCTATCCTTTTGCTTATTTGGATGAAGTGTACATTCATGTGTGTTCTTGCATGCTTGTGCATGTTGTTCTGTGGTCAGAGAGTAAGGGCTAATCCTGCCCAAGCTCTGTTTTCCACTTACTGCTTTAGGCTGCTGGCCAACTGTTTCTCCTGTGCTATTGCTACTACATGTATCTAGAGTGTGGGTACATTACAGATCATGGCTTCTTGAGTTTGAAATAGTAGAAGTTCTAAAATGGGGCATACGTGGAAATAATTGGATTCTGATTTGTTATTTCCACATTCAGATTATGGCTTTTCTACAGCTAAGAAAAATTTTTAAAAATTGTTGAACATGGATATTTTGATAGGTTCCATAGGTACAGTTTGCATAATTCTAAATCATGTGTTTCCTATTTGGCTCACCGTTTAGCTTTCAAATAATAATGTAGTAGAAATAAATATTACATTTCTAAATAAAATGTTTGCCTTAGTTTTATATTTTAACTTCTTAAAAATGTCACTTGAATAATGAACATATTTCAATAATTAAGCTTTTATTTAAACAAAAACTACTCAGATTCGCTGTTGATTTGATGTTTTATGCTAAGATTTATAGCAGGGAAGGAATTCAAAGGAATTAAAGGCATATTGACTTTTCTTTAAACGACAATGAAACCCTTCCAAAGTTAACGTCTAATCAAAAACTGCCAACTTTAAAATTTTTTGCATTCACTATAGTCAGAATTTGAATGTTTTCATGTTTTTGTGTTTTTCATTACAGGGGCAGAAAGCGTTTTGTAAGTGAAGGAGATGGAGGTCGTCTTAAACCAGAGAGCTACTGAATATAAAAACTCTTTCAAGTCTTAGGGTGTTATAAAAATATATATCTGAATTGTAAGAGTTGTTAGCACAGGTTTTTTTTTTTTTTTTTTAAAGCACTTGTTTTGGGTACAAGGCATTTCTGAAATTTTATAAACTTACATTTAAGGGGAATTTTTAAAGGAAGTTTTTTTTTTTTTTTTTTAAAGCACTTATTTTGGGTACAAGGCATTTCTGAAATTTTATAAACTTACATTTAAGGGGAATTTTTAAAGGAAGTGTTTTCTTTTTCTTTTTTTTCCTGAGGGGGTGAAGGAAGGAGAGAAAAGTAATCTCTTATGTGGAATATTCTAATAAGCTATGTTTTGTAAGTGCCATGTTCACGACCTAATCATTCCAGGTTTTGCATTGATATCTGACTGCCACTCCTTTCTTTCAAGGACAGTGTTTTTTGTAGTAAAATCACTGGTTTATACAAAGCTTTATTTAGGGGGTAATGTTAAGCTGCTAAAACCCCATGTTGGCTGCTGCTGTTGAAATACTGTGCTTTGGGAGTAAAAAAAAAAAAAAAAAAAGTTATTTCTTTGTCTTAAAGAATTTTTTAAAAAATGAGTTAGTCATGAGACTAAAAAAAAAAAAAAAAAAAAAAAAAAAAAAGTTATTTCTTTGTCTTAAAGAATTTTTTAAAAAATGAGTTAGTCATGAGACTTATTCATCTTTCCAGGGAACATTTTGATTGGTCTTAAAGACTAGACAGTTAAGTAAATGGTGGCTGGAACATCTATTTTTCTACAAAACTGGAAAACAAACCCGGTTCTAGGAGAATGTACAACAAAATAAAACATGTGAAGCAGTGTTTGACTCTTTATTTGGAGTACATTTATTTTAGATCTTTTAAAGAATTATCTAATTTCACACAGCAAATTTTAAATCAATCATACAAGGAAGCACATTTGAATCCTAGTGAACTTAATTAAGCTGTATTCTTTGCCAACTTTTTTTTCCCTTGCAAACATTTAAATTGAAAGTACACTAGTAAATAAATTCTTTTAAGATTACACTTGGGGAAAAACGCATGCACATTTTAATCCCTTATTTACTCCTTTGATCTACACCTTAATAAAATTTCTAAAAGGTATATACTTTAATACCTTTCATCATTCTTAAATTCTATTACCTAATAATAGTGTTATAAAAAGTTATTCTCCAAAGACTCAAAACTTTACACTTATCCAATGTCTGAAAAAATACTAGCTACCAATAAATAACAATAATCTCTTTTACAGAGCCTAATTATTCAGCAAGGCCTCAAGGTCTATGTTAATTTAAATTGCCTATTATTGATTGCAGCAAACCAACCAAGAATTATATTCAGAATTTACAAAGGTATTCTTAGGAATATAACTAGTATAGGTTTAGGTACAGTCTTTTAGAATTAAAACTACAAATTTAATGTTCATAATTTAGCTCATAGGCTCTTTCAAGCACATATTACTTAGGCTTATATAGGTAATTATAGTAAACATTTTTAGGTTTTTAATTGTTTGATACCTGGAGGATAAAGACAGTCATGTAATTCTTGAGTCCTTAAAATTAGTGTAATTAAAAGCTTAAGTAACTACAGAATAGGTGAGGTTTTCTTAAAAATCAAATTTAAGAAACAGTTTTGTCATTACCAGTGAGATCAGCTGACCAGGCAAGACAGCATTAAACATGGCATGGCACACAAAACTGGTTCAAAAAATTTGTTTTTTAAGTAGTACAAAAGTTCAATAAACACTTTATGCAAGTTAGAATGTATCTTCAAATTCAGGTTTTTAATAAATACATAAAGATCCTCTCTGTATAAGAGTTGCACTTAATCATTTGTGCCTAAGGATGTTACCTATAAAGCTGATAGCAGTAGGGGTGGTGAATTCTAAAAACATAATGAGTTAAAAAGAAAAATCCCATAAAATCTGGTTAAAAGTTTTTAACTGCTTGTGTTCAATACAAACCAGAGTTTAAATTCACAATACAAGTTTCATCCATCTTGAGTCTTTGTATTTATGTGAATATTATCAATTTTAGTAACATACTACTGTTAGCATACAGATGCAGATTATTTAAATTACTTTAGTAGGTAAGGTAGGGTGTTCCCTAAGGTGCTAAGTTATCAGTGGGTTATTTGCTGCTGTTCCTTTGCCATTTCTTGTTGGCGAATTGTATCCTGTGCTGCTTGATGCATTTTCTCCAGTTTTTCCAGAGTCAGATTTTAAGGGTAAAAGTTTGGGTTTACACAGCACCATTGTGGTTACATCTTCCACAGACAACTGCCCTAAGTTTAACAAGAAATAAGAATTAATTTGAGGAAGATAACCCAGTAGTTTGGTGGTTTGGATTTGCAGTGCAAATGAAAATCTAAAAACTTAAATATATTGTCAGTGAAAAACTCCTGTTCCTAGACTGAATTTTGCGGTGGGACCAAAAAGATGATAGTTATCCCGTGAGCAACATCTCTTAATATGAGGGTGTTCTTAAAGAAAACAATTCTTGAACTTTCTACCGAATCCTCAAAACTGCCATAAGACATACTTTGTGTCAAATGTTTAATTCAAAATAAGATTTAGGAGAATATATGCATAGTGCACAAAAGTACTTAAATAGCAGAGTATGGTGGAATAGTCAAATCACTGAATGTTTAACTGAAACCTTCAGCTGGCCTTAACTATTGCTTGGTTTAGGTTTCTTTTTCCCCACTTTAGACCTTATTTAATATTGTGAATTCCATTGTTATTTCACTGAAAATTTCAGATGGTAATCTGCAAATCTTGGTTATAGCAGGAATTCTGGGTCTAAGGAACACTGTCTTTTACAACCTTCTCATGGCAAAAGTACAGCAGTCCCTCAGTATCCATGGGGGATTGGACCTTCTACAGATACCCAAATCCATGATGCTCAAGTCCCTGATATAAAATGGCACAGTGTTTGCATATAACCTAGGCTCATCCTCCCATATACTTTAAATCATCTCTAGATTACTTATAGTATCTAGTACAATATGATAAATGCTATGTACACAGTTATACTGTATGTTTAGGGAATAAGTCTGTACATGTTCAGTACAGATGCAATTTTTTCTGAATATTTTTGATGTGTGGTTAGCTGAATCTATGGATGCAGAACTACTGGATATAGGCAGCTAACTATATATGGTAAAAGTGGACAGTAAATGAGACATACAACACAGCTGCAGATGTTTAGCTATTAAGCCTTTTTCACACTCCCTATCACATTGTAGGTCCCCATAATATTCTATGACCTAAGTATTTGTGATGTAGATACCTTGTTTTGGAAGAACTTCCCGGAACATTGACTTCACTTCCGCCATATCTGAATTATTGGCTACAGTAAGTTTTTACCTTCAATGAGAAATCAAGTATTAGTATTATTCAAGAATAAATTCTCAAAATGTATTGCTTGAGACATTTCCATTGTGGTTTAAGAAGTAAAATCACAATTACTATAGAAAGAGAATTACCCTATCCTTGCATAATTTTCTCATTAATTTCCTGTGGTTCTTTCACTGAAACAAGGTTGAGGTAGTTTATATAAGCATCTAGATGTTGTCAATTTTTATTAATCACTGGTGCTGTTAATTGGAAGGCTAGTTGTTCTAAATTTTTTCCCTCTAATGAAAAATTGGTAGAGCTTCAGATTTTTAGACAAAGATGATTAATGTTAGCTGAGGAAAAAGCATTCATGAGCATTGTAGTTCACTGATGGCATCTCTCCTGAATGGCAGGTGACATTAAAAAAATGACCACCATTTGGGAGGTGGGGATATGTAGGTAGGTAGGAAGAGGAGGTAGTAGGCACTCATTATTTAACATTCCCACTTTTCTCAATAGCTGACGGCTGGTTTCCACTTTTAATCCATTTGCTATAACAAAGCATCTTAAGAATTAGTTACTGGCTAAATAGCTGGAACAAATTAGATGAAACTGGCTCTAGAAGAACAGAAATGAAGTATCCTTTCAGTTTACTACTTTCTTCTAATAAAGGGATACTATATGCTAAAAGGCTAGCATATACCTTCATATGAGTATTTTGTTATGAACATCCCAGCATAGATGCCATCCTTGGCCAATTACCTTTGCTTCAATTGTTACATCCCAGATTACTGTTATATGTTCAAGGTGTTCTGGACTAAGTTGTAGAATGATTCCTTTCCAAACACATGCTTCTCCAGACAGTCCCACCCATTTAGTGTTATTTCACAACAGTGATGCAACCTTACCATGTGTCTTTCACAACATCACCGCCACAGAAGAAAGATTTATAAAGTGGTGATGCTGGCTTAGTGCCTGCCTTTACGCCCACTGCAAATTAATTATAATCAAGTGAAGCTGCTTCTGGTCTTTGTTATTCCCGTTCCACTACTTCTTCGACATTCCTAATAAAAGCTTCCTACTCTCCATCCACCAAGCCTCTTACACTCTCTTGGTCAAATTCTTATTCTGGAATGTCTGAGTTCCTGAGCATGCTATCTACTTTCTAGAGCTCTTGTCATCAAGCTTTACCCCTATACTGCTCTAGCAGGGAGAGAAGATGAAGTAGGGAATGGACCAAGAATAAAGCAACTCATCACTAAATGGAATGTGAGGTAAATACAATATGAAATTTGCTTAGAATGAGCAGCTTCTCCTACCACATTCTTTCCTTCTTGTTACTTAGGCCTGCCAGTTCATACCTAGTGATCTCCCCCCCCAGCCGCCAACCTTAGGTTGATGGCTAATATTGCACACCCCTGATTAGCCTTGAATAGAGCTAAGGAAAAAAACAGACTCCATCTAGCCCCTCATTAAAGACATCCCAACAAAAATATTCATTAGGTCCTTATTTGGTGCAAATTCGACATGATACGCCACTAAAGGGAGAAGAGATATTCCAGAAGTTGATAAATAAGGAAATACATAGCAGCTAAGTATTTTTATATACCACCAAAATGCTGAAAGGGAGGGTGGACAATACTTGTTTTAGCTGTTTATTATAGAGTAAACAACTCCAGTTACTCAAAATTCAATCACTATTTCTTGTTTTCTCTTAGTCTATACCTCTTTCTGGC